ACAAATAGGACCACTTGACCTGTAATGAATAACTCTACCAGTAACTAAAGAATAGGCACAGCACGTGCTCATACTCAGTCTCCGAACTCACAAATATCAGAATAGAGACTGATGTAGAATAGAGACTTCAGGAGACTGTGATGACTCAAGGCAAAGAGCAACCTTGGGTAGGTCTTATACAGACACTGTTATATTCCCAAGAAGAGATGCCAGCATTTCAAAAGTAGAAGAGCCCAACCTACAGCTGCGGGTTTGCAAAGGGATAAGACATCTTAAAGATAAAAACTGTTATCCAAGTAAACTATCACCAGCATTCTGTGATTATGGAGACATGAAAATTAAATGTGTGAGTTTAAAAAAAAAAAGAAAAAAGAAAAAAATGAATATTTTAAAAGTCAACTGGATTCTCCTAAAAGTTTTTAAACATGTAAATGTCTATTGCCAGCTCCGAACTCAGCTTTTGGACGGATGCTTAGGAAGAAAGAAAGCTGAGAGATGTGGCTACAAAACAATACTTTAATCTCAGCCAAATGAAGACTGTTTTCTGCAAAACGAGCAGATGAGGACAGGCTTTCTGAGAACTCAGGTGGAGTCCTGTGCTGTTGCTTTCTTTTCTGACACCTTCAGTCTCTACCTGCTGCAAATGAATGCCCATATTCTCTTAACTGCTGCGTTCCTCACGCTGAGTGTGAAATGCAGGTTAATGTTTGCTTCGGCTCATTCCCTCCTTGAAAGGAACATTATCTTTAATGGCTGCTCACGTGCCTATCAATACTACAGCAGTGTTTCACATAATTTTATTTTGACAAAGCATTGCACAAAAATAAAAACAACACATTAAATTGCCAGATCCAGAAACACCTATTCAGTTAAAGGTGTAAATTTCAGTCTGCTTCTTTATCAGGCATAACTAAGAGGGCTCAGAGAAAATGAAGAATTCTGTTTCTGTTCACAAGTTCTGTGAAAAGGTGACCTATAATTGTTAAAAAGATCAGTGTAATAACTACTCTTCACTTCTAGTAAAAAAGCAGCTTTACTAAAAATGGAGCATGTAAGCTCCTGAAAATTAAAAAGCCTGAACATAGACTCTTGGGGCTTTTTCTGTTTGCTTTAAGCAGAAGAGTGAATTTACATTATTTGAACCTATCAAGTATGTCCAGCAGTGCACAGACACAAAAAAATAGCTCTCACCATAAACCCAATGCCAGTCCAGTCGACCTTTAAGTCAGAATGAAAAGCTTTCTTAAGATCTTTGCTGTACCTTTGCTTGCTGCAAAAGCCACTTTGTGGACTTGACCACTGACAAATCTATACGCTAGCCAGCAATATTTGAGATCTGAAGACCTCACTATCTAGAGCCAAAACAAGATGTGAAGCATTTCTACCTCTCCAACCAAAAGACCTCCTCTGTGAGGCTGCAAACAATGAACAGAAAGTTGTTTAGAAATCAAAAAGTGAGATATACCATTGGTTTACAATGGTTCAAATGAAGAGTGTCGGCTGTTGTCTCTCCTGGATCTGCTAAAATACTGCAGGACTGAAACGAAAGAATATTTAATTCCCAGCACATGGTGACACAACTGTAATATTCAAGCAGAAACACGAAGGGAGAAAAAAATATTTTAAATACTCAAGTTCTGCATCATCCAGCAATGCTACACAAATGGTAACACAGCCACACTGCATGCTTCCTCCTAATTACACCGACATAATAATTACTCTAATATTACAGAAGATGCATTGGAATAACAAATTGATTTTATTCCCATTCAATATGCAACAATTTATGCAAGCAATACTTTATAAAATGCAGTTAAGTTTTTTTGAAAACATTGTGTTGGATTTTAACAAGAACATGCACTCCAACTAAAAAGCAAAGAGTTCTACTGGTTCTGGCCTTTTCACATTAAAGCAAATTGTTTTTATAAATGCAAGCTGTGTATGCACAACAAATAAAGAGTTCAGACCCATTCTTTCCAGCATCTCAAACATCTAAATACCCAAAACTTTTCTAGCACCCAGCACTCCTTGTGGAGACAGCAAGGATTCAATAAGGACAGTAAGTGAAAAAATAAAGAAAACCTAAAGCACAGCAGAAGGAAGAGGTCATCTATCTAAGTTGCTCCATAAGTAATGCCTCCCATTTACTTCCACAGAAACAGCAGAGACACAAAGAACACAGTAACACTACTTGATGGAGCACATTCTCTGCTACAAAACACAATTTTTCAACACAGTCATCACCATTAGCCACGCATTTTCATCAGCAGTGAACAGGAGCCTGCACGCTGCACTCACTGAAATCTGCAGCAGCAGAGGCGATTCTCTGCTTCACAGCTGCTATGATGGAGTTGCTGCTAGAAAAATGTTGCCCATGCAGTCAAACTTTCACTGTGCTAGCATCCGCTGTTTGGTCTCCATTAACATTCAGCAAGCATCAATGAATGCCAACAGGAGCATTTTCCATGTGGAGGAATTCAATTAGAGAGCTTTGCTTCATATGCATTTCCATGTCAGACTGCCCTGTCCCGCCACCTGTCACAGAGCAACAAAGTGTGACACGTACTGGTGGGAAGGGTCAGCCTCTCCTGCCATACCACCAACCTCTGATGTTGTGGGCCAACTGACAGAATAGGAGGCACTGCTTTTGGAGCAGCCCTCATACATTTTCACACACAGCAGTCTGACAGCTGACGTGCCCTGCACTCAATGACATGAAATACCCGTGTTTCTTTCTTTGATAAGTGAAGCTTCACTTAGGTTGCTGTCTTGTGTCTTTTCACTCTCACTAAGTTGTTTTATTACAAGCCCCTCTGAAGGTCACAGAATAAATTAAGTCAGGTGATGCCCTGTACAGTTCATTCAGCTGCAGAAGAGTGATGCACACTGAATACTAGCAGCACCAAACTTCTGACAGCCAAAAGCTCACACCTCAGAGAGCAACGTGACCACGGTATCTGTGACATCAGAAGCAAAGAAAGCAAAGACAGCATAACCTGAACATTCAAATGTGTTCTTTAAAGCTCCCATTTCCATATGATTTTCATTTTGCAATTCCAAAATGTCTGGGAAGACAATTTGCCTATGATGTGCCCCTGCCCAACAGTCATTAGGGAGAATGGAGGGAAAACAACTCTTTCCCAGCCTCAGCACTCTCCAGTTCACGGAAAGGGTACAAAGACATTAGCAAAGCATTTATCTCTTCCGGCTAACAAGCCAGATCAGGAGATAACACATATGATACTCTATCTGCTGGAAGGGTGGCAGACTACTGTGAAGATGACAGCATCTGCAATAAGCTTATGGCACAGATCTCAACAGCGCAGGAACATCACAAATGGGTCTTTCCTGTCCTGCTGTCAGGCGTGTCAACAAAACAGTACATCTAAACCCTGTGAAAAAAAACCAGCCAGCTACTACTGCAGAACTGGGAACTGAACCTAGAAACGCTGGCTACTGAGTCTCTGAAATCCTCCTTCCCCCCAAAACATTCACGTAAGGGGATGTGAGAGCATTTGGTTTCTTACAGTCATCCAGCGCTACCTCCTCAGAGGAGCCTCTGCCTCCTTCAGCATGCAGGGTGGATTGTGCCACACATTAAGATGGGCTGCATCACATCAGGTCCTTGTTTCTACTAGTGATGGAAAGCAAGATGAAGGTGGGTTAACAGGACAGAGAGGAAGCGCAGCACAAGAAGGCTGCTCCCCATGCACAGCCTCTTCACACTTCCTATGCTGTCTCTCACAAGGAGGTCACCCACGGTGCGTTCACTACCTTCCAGGCACCCAGCCTGGGGCTACGATACCCACCTTGTCAAAGATGACAGCTGCAAAGCCATGGAGGCTCTCAGTCCATGCATGCAAAGCAATGCCAGAACACCAGGTTTACTGTGGGGGGGGAAAGTGAGCAGACCTCCACTTGGAGTAACACAGTTACCAGTGGGCTCCTGTGAAACTGCAGCTGAGGAAGGCAATTGACTGTGCATAGAGATCAGTCACCTCAAGGCTGTCCACACCACATCCTGGAACAGGGCTGGAATGAAGATAACTAGCAGTTTGATTCCTTCAAGCAACAGTCAGCCAAGCTATGGCAAGCACAGCATTTACTTATCAGACTCATTTCAGGGAACAGCTGAATAAATCAAAGCGTCACATAAGTGAAGGCAGTGGCATCTGGACTTTGAAAACTGGCAAGGGGACAACTGTGAACATGAAATGCAAATAGACTCAGGGTGTGTCTTGCAAATGACCCTTCTGGAGCACTGTGGAATGCGGTTTTATAGTGGGCAATTTTTCCAGCATGAAGTCTAAAAGCAGAGATGAGGTTTCTTTTAAGATGCATGGCATGCATAAAATACTTCCAGTGTATCTGCGTAAAATCTGATCACCTCATCCCTGAATTACAGAGGCAGCTGAGTACAGTCAGAGTAAGAATCTGTATAGCATGACACCACAAAGAGTTACGAGTCCTCAAGCTAAGTGCACCTTAAAGCCTTGAGCAAAACACTGAAAGAGACTGCTAGCACAATCTCCTAATAGCCACATCCTCCAGTTCTTCAATCACCCAATAGTCGCCATCTACGGAAAACAATTTACTGCAAACATCATGGAATGGGCAGGACAGCACTGTCGTTTGAGAAGTCCTCAAAGACTTAGAAGGAATTCCAAACTACAGAATTCTGCTGGTTGAAATCTGGGAGGACAACAAAACTGCTGACATCTATACCTTGGTGCCCAACAGTATTTGAAATAAAGAGGCAGTGGCTACAAATACTGACAGGATGCCACAAAGACAAATGTGTTCTGTGTGAAATGCCTTGTCTTTAAAATTAAAACCTTCCCACTGTTCTTATCACAGAATGAATGAGATCGTGCTATCCTAAGTCATCTAATTAACCACATCAGAAGAACTGAGATGACATTTTAGCCATGCAGATTCCATTCAGCTCAAGTCAACCTAATACATAACATCAGAAAAACATGTAAAGCTGTGACACGTACCTGATCTACTAATTCTGTCAATCTTGTCCATGCTAGCAGAAGAGATTCGGAACCGCGGGCTGCTCTGATTTGAGGATTCAGAACCTGCATCAGCAAATGAGTCTTCAACTGTGAATAGTATATCTTTCACACATTTGTGACACAAGTTGTGTTGACAAGGAAGGATCAGCGGGTGGGTGAACAACTCCTTGCATGCTGGGCAGATGAGTTCTCTTTCAATACTTTTGGTAGCAACCTTTGACAGAAGGAGGAGAAAACCAAGCAGAAAGCACAAGCTGTAAGACACTGCATGTTCACAGTGATAGAATCATAGAATGGCCTGAAAGGGACCACAGCGATCACCTAGATTCAACATTCTATGTTGCCAACCATCAGACCAGGCTGCCCAGAGCCACATCCAGCCTGGCCTTGCATGCCTCCAGGGATGGGGCATCCACAGCCTCCTTGGGCAACTTGCTCCGGTGCATCACCACCCTCTGTGTGATGTTGTCCCTGCTCATGTCA